GTGCGATGCTGTTCGAAGCCCTGCACCTGCAAGCGCTTCTTAACGAAGTCTAGCGGATAGACGACCGCCTTGGAGGCGACACCAGCCGCACCGCCGGTGCATAGCAACACCCAGGTGGGCAGCAATTCGTTGCGCGCCAACGGTGTGTGCATCAGCATTTCGTTGAACTTCTTGTAGAACATAAAGTTGAAACCGACCAATGGCACAATCTGCACCAGCGTCGGCTGGAGGCCCCGAAAGTAACCGCGTATGCCTTCGGTGCGCCAAATCATCGGCACGGCGTGGAACATGCTGCGATAGCCCTGTCCGGGATCTTGTGCTACGATGCGTGTGCGTATCACATCGAAGGGAATGGAGAAAATGGTCGCCACGCAACCGGCAAAACCGCCAGCTAAAAAGTTCATCGTGTTCATGTGCGTCGACATGAAGGGTGAGTCACGCATTATGGCGCGTATCTGTTCGTACGACCAAAATTGACCAACACTGTAGACGACGCTCATAAATTGCCCAGCATTGTGTCCTTTGAAGAGACCACGCAAACCCTCCTCGTGATAGATCAGTTTACTGGCCTGCCACAGTGAGGTGTACTTGCCTTGATTGTGCTTGGAGAGCGGTTCGACCTGCAGTTGGAAACGTATCTTTAAGACGTCGAATGGCTGCGTGATTGTACGTGTTAAAGCGCCCGATATTGCGCCAGCATAGATTTGATTCAGTTGTGCTTGCGCTGAGGTGTAATCGTCGTGCGCGGAGGTGTGATGCACGCTGCCCTCAAAGTCGGATGGCTTTGGCAAGCGCAGTTCGGAGCTGGCTGGTGCCATTTTCGATTTGATATCTAAATTAGGCGGCAAATAAGTGTGGAATATATTTGGTTTTAGGCAGCGCTAAGAAAAGCGTTTGAAGTGGAGTTCGTCTGGAAGGAAAACGAAGAAAAAAAAAAAATTAAAAACTTCTGAAAGAAATAATATAAAGAGAAAGCTTAGAGTATTAATGTGTTCAGTATATATACTTATTTATACATATGGTATAATAATATTAAAATGTTAGAAGTATCACAACAGAGATGTCAGCGCAGCAAAAAAAAAACAAGTGAGAGGTTGATTTTGTGGTGAACGAGCGCAAGACGATGTACCTGGAGATTACATAAAAGGATTTCTCGACTCTTTGTGACGTACACTATAAATTGGAGAATGGAAAGCACCGATAATCTAAGCCTGGACATCATGCGCAGAATAAATCTTCCCAACTGGTCACTTTGGGATCAGTATTCGATTGATCAGTATTCGATTGATTCCTCTCTCGAAAATCAATAATTACGCTGTAGAAGTCTCTCATTATTCCCGACATTATATACTGCGCAGAAACATGGTTAGTGATGAACAAAGAGAGAGAGCGAGAGAGAGAGAGAGAGCGAGAGCGACAGAGAGAGAGAGAGAACTGTTGTCCTCAAAGTCTTTGGAACCTTTCGCTTATGCGATAGATATTGAGAAGGTGGAACCACAAACTGTGTGAGCCCTTCGGATATAGTTAGGAAGATTATACTCCAGCGAAAAGCTCCTTCGATTCGAGCCCAATGGTTGGACAACGAAAGAAAAAAACAGAAAAGGAAAGACCCAGTGTAGAGCGAACTGTCTGCACTTGGATTGTACAACCAGCGTAACTTTGCAAAGGGTAGATGCAACTGCCGAAGTTTTGTGTTCTCGGTCCGGACCGTCACAGAGTAGGGGCAAAGAAGAGGATAAGTAGAAGATAAGATAGGCTGTATAGGATTGCCGAAAATCCAACCTCTCCTAATGCTCAATGTGAGATCAGAAGCGTTTTGGTGAATCTGTTATGCATGTAAATATAGTAACAGCCTCAACCAGGGAAGATTACTTTCCTTCGTAGAAGTGCAGCAGATATACATAATTTGAAATATGGAAACGGCATTTTACACACAAAATTTCAGACATGATCTGTTAAATCAAACCAAATAATTTCAACATTTAGATAAAATTTCGAAATCAAAGATTTTTCGATTTTTCTAAATAAATTTTTTGGAGCGTCATCGTCTTTGAAATACTATGGCGATTTGAAAAAATTGCCTTGAAGAGTTCAGTATTCAGAGAAACCCGTTCTAAGTTAAACAAAGATCTTATTAGCTTGGCGCTTAAGGGTAGGCAACTCAGTGTTTTATGCTCTACAAGGTTGCCAACATTTAGGGTTATGGCTTGAAATGATGTTTATACTCGTTATGGCTATCTATAGGATAGTAATTGTTAACAATGCCAAAATAGCTATAATAAATTACTCAAAGCAGAGCGTTTTTGCACTTCTACGAATCACCAGGCTTATATAGGTTATAGTGTCGCCACTACGTGCTCAATTAGCGCTAAACAGCTTATGTAAGAGTTATATAAAAAATGTCTACACTCATATATTTTTCACTTCAACTCGCAATAATTTCAACTACGTTTACCAGCTCAATGGCACTCGCAACAAATGCGACGTTAGTCCATTGACCATCTTATAAATTTCTGGTCATTTAACCATTATTTAAATCATAAGTGTAATGTGAACGTTTTTGTGATAACGTATCTCCAAAGGGCATACCAATCATCACAATGGTATTAAAGAAACAACCAAAAAATCGTAAGAAATGGGATGAAACCAATCAAGCATTCTATGAGCCTTGCCACTAATATAATATATGACCATAATTTCTGGCCGCAAGTTTCAAGTGGTGCGTAAGTAATTGTGTTAAAGCACAAGCGTTGTGTGTTATAAAAATGGTAATAAAATTCATTTCAAGCGAAAGTATTGTGTTATACTATTTATTTTTATGCTTTCCTCTTGCAACACACCACACATTTGGTTTATCTGCTGTCTGTGTCCTTTTTTGTGGTGAAAATGCTTTGAAAGCGAAACAGTCTTACAGAATGAAGCCAGACCACAAAAGGCTGGAATATGATTCCAAAACGGATAGACATACGTGTTTGCGCACAATACAAATAAATTGAAACCAGCCGCAAAAAAAAATAAGAAAATTTAGTATCAATTTGCTTTATCTATTTTTTTTTTTGGCTGCTGGTTTGTTGTGAAGATGAGCTATTTGAGTGACAGGAACAGTGTTTACAATAATAACGTGTACAAAATAATACAAGAAGATATGAAAGACTTAAGTCTAAACAACGTTTACATTATAATTATCGTTCAACTTTATTAATAAAAAATTCTGATTCTGTAAAGAAACGCCGAGGCATCGCTCGACTTATAACCAACGCAATCGGTCTACTTAACGGACTATTCGCAACACCATCACCTATCTTGAGATCCAGCATTAATTATTTGAGAATATCCGACCGAATAGACGACGAAACTATAACAGCCGTAACTGAGTGTACACGAAGACCGTGGAGAGTTGATTCAACGCCGTTCGCAGCAACTCGGACTAACGTATGGAACATTTTACGTCGAGATCTTAAATTGAAAGTGTACAAAATATAGCTTCCAAAGTGACATCGCTTCGCTCTGTGGGCTCTTGAAAAGTTCCAAGAAGACTCGATGTTTTCGAGAAAAATTTTGTTCAGCGGTGAGGCCCATTTCTGGCTCAATGTGTGTGTAAACAAGCTAAATTGCCGCTTTTAAGACGAAGAGTTTCAAGGGCTGCCATTTTATTCCGAAAAAATAACGGCTTGGTGTGTTTTGTGGATCGGTGGAATCATCGGTCCAAATTTATTTAAAAATTATGTTTTGATGGCTGAAATTGAAGCTCGTGATCTCGGGTTCAATTGGTTACAAGACGGCGCCACTTCCCACACACTTCGTATCAATAAATGAACTCATTGAGAGAACAATTCGATGAGTAGATAATTTCAGGTTGTGGGCCGGTCGATTGACCACCAAGTTCGTGTGACACCGTTAGATTTTTTCCTGTGGGGATATGTATGTGGACAATCTCGCTTTGATTTAGGCCTTGGAGCAAAACATCACACGTGTAATTCGCCTGTTACCTGTCGAAATGTTCGAATGAATCATCGTAAATTGAACAAAAATACCAAATTAACATTCCCATTAAATTTGAAGTTTCTATGTGGTTTTGAAATATTAGGGGAACTTAGCAATAAATCAGGTTTTATAATGAACAAGTTACTACCCATCCGACACTTGCTAATTGAAAAGACTTAATTTGAGTGCTACTTTAAAACATTCGCATAAATGTGTCTTCAGTCTCCTCGAAAAAGTACTTTTCACAAACCAAATTTAAAGACTGTTGCAGTAATTTTCTTACCCCGCATTGCTTAACAAGCAAATTGTAGCTGCATCGAACGGAAGCGTACCATTTGGACAATGTTTTTCTCTTATTTCTGCCTTTGATTACACTTTTTCTTTCTTTTTGTTTTTGCAACTCTATTCTACTCTTTCACTAGCCCTTAGTGGCTTACACTAGCGTTGTTCCATCCTTTAAGCTCGCGCCGCGTTAGTTGGACACAGCTGCCGACTGCAGTTCCCAGGCCATAACATCATTTTTGGCGTACCATTTACTAGATTATTTATGGACCGAGTGAGCAATGGTAAAATTAGAACAACCACAAACACTGTTACTAAGCCCATGAAACGGCTACTGAAACCGATAAACCGCCAAGTAGTGGAGGGAAATAAAATTGAAAAATTGTGAAAAAAAATTTTATATATAAAAGCCTTTTTTGCAGCCGGATCAACGTCAACATGCAACTTTTTTTTTTAATATCCCACACGCTTAGTAGCACGACCTCAATTCAGGAGAGTTTATTTCAATATCCGTTTGAGGCCACCAACAAATAAACAAATCGCATTGCAGCACAAACAAAAATTCGAAAGTTTCCATTTCAAGCATTTAGGAATGTTTTTGGAACACTTTTTTTATATACACAAATATAGGTATTTTATAGCAGTCTCCCTCCTCCTGCTCACTGTCTAAGCTTGAATTTATTTTTGTGTGTTATTTCAACATTTGTTTTTGTTGTTTGTTTTGTATCTTCCAGTTGCCAAACATCAAGTCGTTGCCTACACACAAAAATCGCAAATCAAACATGAGAATCGTCACATACAATTGGTGCGTGAGTATGGCTTCCATCCGAGGACGAAGGCGACTGTCGAGGATGGCGACGTGTTGCCAAAGAAATTCGAACCGTTTCCGGAGAATATGTACGGCAAACCTCTGGAGGAAATTGATAATTTCATCTATGAAGAGGTAAGTGAATTTTATTAGAAGTATATGTAAATGGTGCCATCCATCCATGTTGAGAGGATGAAAATATGGCGCTGGAGGATGTGTTACTTTTTAATGGCGGCCCGTTTTGGGTCAATTTCAATATATTCAATATATCAATTTCGTAATATTTTGTATATTCCGCTGATAGAAAAATCATGAGGATTTGTGAATAAGAGATATGTGTTATTTTAAATGGATACCATTTCGAAAGAGACTGGCCCAATTAAAACTAATTTGTGACTGGTCGTATTGTTACTACTTAATTCGTAATTCGTAATTAAATAGCGGATATAATAAGAAATTGATGAAACTGTTATTTTAATTTTACAACTGATTGTAATTTTGATGAAAATTTAATTAAAAAGCAGTTACTAATTCCTTAAACTTTCGTTGAGATAAAAACGCTTTTTTATTAAGATATTGAAGAAAAAATTTAAAAGAGTACTTATAGAAATCAAATATAACAGCAAGTAGTAACTCAAACCTGCTGCACAATGAACTAGTCAGATTTGTACTAGTTTGCAACTAGTTCAAAAAAGGTTGCATATTAAAATAAACGTATTTTCTTGTTACACGCTAATCGGGAAAAATAAAATAATTGTTGTAAAGATGCAACCAATCTTTTGGACACTAGTGTGTAACTAGTTACAATAAAATCAGATTATAAATTCTAAGGAATAATTACATTACGAACATATCAGGACTGAATAATTCAAATATGTACAATAGACTAATCAGATTTTTACTAGTTTGTAACCAGTTAAAATAAAATTAAAATTTATATACTACGAAATAATTGCTTTTTACATATGCAGTTAAAAAATATATAGTAAATTTCAAAAAAATAAATAAAAAAGAACTTTTATCGGAAAATTTTTTCTGGAGATTATATTATTACCTTAAGCAGTAATCCATGTCAAATTTCGTGAAGATACCTCGTCAAATGTGAAAGTTTTCCATACAAGAACTTGATTCCGATGGTGCAGTTTGTATGGCAGCTATATGCTATAGTTAACCGATTTGAACAATTTCTTCGGAGATTATATTTTTGCTTTAGAAAATGAAATTTTATGAAAATACATTATGAAATGTGCAAATTTTCCATACAAGAACTTGATTCCGATCGTTCAGTTTGTATGGCAGCTATATGTTATAGTGGTCCGATATTGTCAGTTCCGACAAATGAGCAGCTTCTTGAAGAGAAAATTACGTTTGCAAAATTTCAAAACGATATTTTAAAAACTGAGGGACTAGTTCGTATATATATACAGGCAGACGGACAGACAGGCGGACATGGCAAAATCAACTCAGCTGAACATACTGATAATTTATATACATATATGCTTTATAGGGTCTCCGACGCTTCCTTCTGGGTGTTACAAACTTCGTGACAAACTTAATATACCCTGTTCAGGGTATACAAATTTTAAAAAAAGGTAGTTATTCTACCCTGAATTGATTAGTAAAGCTTAGTTTTATTTTTTTCGTTGAATACATAGATACATACATACACATATTTTATGCTATTCCATCAGTAAATCAATCAATCTAAATCAAGTGACTCATTTGTCATCCAAACTGATGGGGCAAATTGCCGTTGCCGTCAAGAAGCATTGACACTTCGAAAGCCTAAAATAACAACGATGTTTGCACAAATGAATTATCAGTGTTTGTTTTCTTATTTTCCACCACTTTACCTACACCTGATGTTATTTATCTTCTCAGTGAGTTGTTGGCTGATATTTGCTTGCCAGTTGACTGTCAAATGTTTTGCTTTGCGATTTCCTGTTTGATCAGAAATTTTAGTATTTGTCTTTGCACACACACATGCACACTCGAGTAATCAGTTGAAATGGCAGAGTTGAGGAAGTACGTGCATGCAAGCATAGGTACAGTTCATGGTCCCGCCAATTGCTTTCTTGTACGGCAAACTGTGCCAAAAGCATGACATGACAAGCAATGAAGTTGCCAAACTGTCAACAAGCAGTGACGCATGTAGAATCTTGCTGCTGGATAGTATCCGCAAGCCAACTGACAGGCATATCGACAATTGGAAAGGTGATACATACAAATGACACATCATAGAATGGGAATACTGTGATAAGACATTGTAAGTGGACAACTTTAATATCATTGGTATTTGAGAAGTACAATTTTCTCAGATTTTATGCGATAGTGTATGGTAGATTTAATTAATAGAAAATGAGCTTTGTTTGAGAAGGGTTTACAACTCGACTCAGTTGAGTTGAAATTAAGACAAGTCAACTTGTAAAACCGCTAAACTAGATTAAAGCATTTCAAATTACAACTAGTTTCAGTTAAAGTTGAAATTGCAACGTTGCAAACCTACAAAAAGTGACGATTTGACTGATAATTCAGCCACTTATTGTTTTGTAAGCTAAAAATTGTTTAGTTGAAATTGAGACAACTCAACTTATAAAACAACTAAACTCAAATCTGGTTATTTCCAATAACAACTAATTTCAGTTGAAGTTGAAGTTTTTCTGATGTTGCAAACCTAAAACTTATGATTTCACTAATATTTAAAAAACTTATGTTTTGGAAGAATAAAATAAAAAAAAAAGCAGCTCAGATTCAGAGTAAGATAAACTTTCAAAGTCCGATAAGTTTGGAAAAGGGATCGACGTCTTGAGATTAATCAAGTTCCTTAAGACATCAAATCTTCCACCCGGGCAACATTTTCAGACGACTTAGTGATTTTAGTAACGCATTTTAGCAGATTCATTCATTCCTTTCTCTTAATTAGGCAAGCAATTTGCTTTTCGTTAGAAGAAAGACCCCACCATGGAACTCAAGGTTTATAAACAGTGCCGTTTCAAGCAGATTGAGCTGTTATACGTTCTAGCTGTAAAATTACAACTGAAGTCTAGTTGAGTTGCTAAAAACAATAGGCTGGACGCCACGCACGATGATGCTTCAAAATTAATATTGGTTCAACAATTTTTCAAAATCAATTACAAATATCCTCTGGTATCTGCTAATAATGAGTTTTCTCTTTAATGTGCTTTTCACAACTGTATACTGTAACTGAGGGCTGTAAACAGTGATAATATAAACAAGTTGTAAGACATTGACAACTCTCCATAATATTTCTTTGCGCATTGAGTTCTGGTACGGGTAAGTTGTGAAATTTCCACTGAAGTGATGCTTACATTGTAAAATTTCAACTGAAGTGTAGTTGAGTTGTAAAATTTCAACGGAAATACAGTTGAATTGTAAATCACAGTGGTCATAGTAACTTTCGTCAGACGAATTTTCGAAAGACGAAATCTCAACTGAAGTGTAGTTGAAGTGTAAGTCGTAATAGGCATAATGAGACCGGCTTTCGGTTGTAAAATATTTGTGGTAAGAGCTTTAAAGCCCATGCTAATAAAAATTTCTTCGACAATATTTTATTTTAGTTGGAAGGTATTTTTATATATTGATTACATAGATTTATATTAAAATCAAACTAAGTGAGGTATTTGCTTGGATATATTTTCTGGTTTATGCAAACACAGTTCAGTTCTCACACCAAAATGACCACTTATGCTTTCAAATGTGATTAGAATGGTAAATTTTTAATGAAAATTTTAGTTTTATTTGATAGCTCTTAGGCTAAATGTTTAATAAGATACAAAATGGGCTTGTCAGTAGAAACCTATTAGTATGATTTTATTGGTTACGTTCAAGCTTTGTCTTCTACTACGACTTTCAACACGAAATAAATGGTTGCAAAAATTAAATGGTCTTAATCATATGAATATTTCTAAATTTGGATTACTCTCGTGATTTCAAAGTGTTGAGAGGAAATCGATTACGATAAAAAAAATGGTTCTCTAAAGCGTGAAGATTCTCATTTGAGTTAAAAGACAACAATATACATAATTGAATATGGATATCTGTTGATACCAGCAAAGTTCAAAACTGGCTTGAAATTTAAGGCCACAAGAAACCGAAAATGACAAAATTAGAATCAATGCAGTTTCTTTTTCAACTTTGTGTGAGATTAGCCAAATGAAAAACAGAGAAATGACAGAATGAAAACTCATTGTGTCTTCAGTTGATATGCGCTACCATAGATCACGTCACAGCAATGTCAATGGTTGCGGCATGACGCCTACATCAAATTCATAGATTACCACTTTTCTCCAAGAATTTTTCCGAATTTCAGCTTGCAAAGGCGGCGAGAGGAAAATTTCACTTTTCAAATGCCAAACAATGGTGAATGCCTGCGGTGCAGCATGCACAGAGCACAGGCGATATAAGAGTAGCTGAGGGGGCGAAAGGCATGACAGAAAGCAACGCGCAGCATATTCCAGAGCCAATGAATGCAATGCTTGTTGACGAGTGAAGAGGAAAATTGCATTTTCTCCGAAGCCAAAGGAAAACAGAAAGCTGCGGCAAGGCAAGAAAGCTGAAGGAAACCAGGCATACGCGTGCTTGGCTACTGGCGGTTGGGGCGTATAAAGAAATTCGCAATTATTATAAAAGTTAGTGTGCCTGCACAGACAATGATGTGTATGTATGTGTGTATGGCGGTGTGGCACAGCTACAGTGCAGAATAAATGACATGTTCAGCGGCAGCTGACAGCGGCAAATAAATTTCACTACAACAGTTTTGCTTAGCTGCCACTGCAATGCGTCGAGATTTATGCGTTCCAACAGCACGCACACACACACCCGCATTCGAATAATAGTAGTTTCACACACACATAGACATTTACATATATCTCCAGTTGTTTCCGGCAATCTTGCGGCGCATTTTTCATTTTTATGTCTGCTGATTCACTTGTAAAAACTTCACACACACACACATATATATATATATGTATATGTATACACAGTATGTATGTGTGTTCTTTCAAAGACACTTAGTCAGCGCTTAAATGTGTTTAAAAAGAAATATGCTAACTCGTTGCCACACTATTGAAAGCCACAAAGGCATGTGTCTACTTAGAACTGCCAGTACACCAGCG